CCCCAAAACCCCAAAACCCCAAAACCCCATGAGATTTTTAAGTTGATATTATTTCTCTAGCATCGATTGTAATTATAAATTCTAATAAAAATTAGCGCTAAAATGAAAAGAAAGTTTTATGAGATTAGTAATACTGGCTAAGACCAGCTTTTCGGTCAAGAAACTAAGAGAAGAAAGATTGAGTCTTAGCGAGTTGGTGATTTTATAGTGGATGCTAAGAATTCTGTTAATTTTAGATTGAGTTCAGACATTAATCAGTTAGAGGATTAGAGTATCACATCTTAATTTTTCAGTCCTAAATTTCTGCACACTGTAAGTATAGAATCTAAATGACATAAATTTATTAATTAGATCTTTGGAGAGAAAGAAAGAATAAGTGGATATGAAGGTTTGTCCGTAGATATTACTTTTTCTAAAAAGAGGCTGCTGCCATTCCTTTAAATCTCTTATGAAAATAAAGCGCCAGCTTTTGCAAATGTTGATAATATTGAAGAACTCTTTCAAAAACAGTTTGGAAGAATTTATGATAAACCTGAGTAGTTCATTGAAAGATTGAACGAAGAGGACAATATTCCACCATGGGGAGAAAGAATTTCAGATTTCACAGGAGAAAAAGAAGTTAATAAATGCTTTATTAATAAAATTGGGCTGGAAAATGAATTGTTTCATGAGTAAAACTTTTACCTCCAATCAATCCTACCATTCTTTATTGATGGAGCTTCAGTTATTGAGCCAAGTCCATTCTGGAAATACTTCTTGGTATATGAGCATGGAAGCCATAATTTACTAGCTTACGCAACTGTATTTGAGGCTCATCATAATGCCGAAAAATTTAGAGCTAAAATATCTTAGGTATTTGTGTTACCTCCTTATCAGAGATAAGGTCTAGGCTAGAAATTATATTAAACAATGTATGATCATTATGTTAAAGATCAACCAAAATGCTTTGAAGTAATAGTGGAAGATTCATCAGATGAATTCTAAAGATTGTAGGATCAAATTAACTCTGAGTCCTACTTAAAATTGAATAAGTAACTAGTATCTACACTATCAGGCTTGCCTATCAGTAATGTGATAAATAATGCTGATTAACTGAAGATATTTACTTTGACCAAGTAACAAGTTGAGTAATTTGCAAGGGATTTAAAGGTTCCATAGGCAACTGTTTTAAGACTTCATGATCTTGCTGTATACTCGTTTTTAGGCAATAATACTAATGTATTGACAGCTTATAGAATCAATATAAAAAAGAGATATTATGTGAGATGTGCAAAGAGTTATATGGAACTTTTCAAGAATGTAGGAAACTAATTATTCGACTCTAAAGGTGGTTTGAATGAGCCATATGTATATAATGAATAGCTTGAAGAAGATCCATTCTGCAGAAATGAAGACGAGGAAGAAAGAAAAGATCAAAAGGCAATTGAAGGCGAGAGAGTTCTGACTCAAGAAGCTGTTAAAATTGAACTTAAAAATATTTACAACACCTTGATTGAAGGTTATGATTAGCTTAAGAGCAAGGTTAATGCATTAGTAACTCAAAATTTGCTTCACTAAAAGTTAGCATGAATTAATGTTAATATTAAGAGTAAAAATTTTTAAAGTTTCAAAATAAACTTATCTAACTTATATGGTTAAATGATATTTAGTTAAATATAATAAGAGATCTTATTTTCTTATAATTAGCAGTTATTTCACCTAAGATTGAGTTCTTTGGCTATAGCATCAATGTCAAATTCATCAGTATTCTTTTTCTGTGTCTGAAGCTTTTACTTATTTAATAGTCTATTCTGTAAATGAACTCCAACATTATGGGAAATGCTTCCACTTGAAATATTAGTAGTGTCATTTCCTCCATTATTGGGTCTAAAGTCATAGACGTTGTAAATGTCACTGTCAGTATCTATTTATCTACCTTTTGTATCTTTTTATCCAGGCCTATGAGATTTAAACTTCTTCTTTTTAGGTTCTCCAGGACCTATTTCAAATTCGTTAGTTGGACTTGGTGTTACTTGAGTTATCATATTCGAACCTGTTTAAAGTGATAGCACATTCTGACTAGGAGTTGGTTAAGCGAATGTCTTTAATTATTTCATCTTTTCTAGTTGCTTTTTAAAAAAGTCCTTATTCTCATCACCATCTTTTTTTCCAGATGATTTCTTTTAAGGACTTGAATCAGTGGAGTTCTTATCATTCGGAGCAGTTATCTTAAGGGAGTGACTTTTAGCTTTGGAATGAGAAATTTTCTAGACTGAAGTTTCATTTAGGTCTTTTTTGAGAGGTACTTTTTCTATATCATTACTTGAATTATTAAATTCACTATCTGGCCCTAACTTTGCTTTTTCATTTTTATAGTAATTTCTTCTAGTTTATCCTTTGTCTTTCAGTTTCAGCATACCAACATCAGCTGGAGATTTGTAAAATACTCTGAATACAAACATCATTGTCAAATCTGGTAGTAGTGCTATCACTGGTACAATCACTAGAATTAACCAAAACTAAAAAGTTTAAAAATAGAATTTATATTACCTTTAGATCGCTAAAAATTTCAAAAAATACACCGTTAATCTATGGCTAAAATATATTGGCAAAGGTATCTGTGTTGAATATAAACACTATTATATAGTAAAGGAAGATACTTGCCAGCCCAAATACACTAAATTTATTAATCTAACAATAATTACATTTAAACATTGGTCCAAAAGTATGACTCCAGGAAAAGTTTATAAGTCACAATATGCAGACAAAGTGTAAAGGAAATGGTAGATACAAACCAATGACTATCTTCGATTCCTTTTTCATTAATTATTCCTTTGTATCCTAATTATGGGATGAAATAGCAAACCCAGCCATGAAATAGAGCCAAACCCATCCATTTCCAAAATACTTTGAAATTAAAATAAATATGCTAAGGTCCTGCTGAGTATAAATCAGGTGATCTAATAGAAGCATCGCCATCAATGTCCTATGTATTATTAAAATATAAAGACTTACTCTGTCAAAAATAAATGTAAATATGCAAGGCCAAGAAGTCCAGAACACATTGTATAGCATCGGAAGCCAATCTGCAAAATAAATCTGGCCTGAATACCCATTGAAAAATGCAAAGTATATTTCACAAAAGACAAGAATTACATTTTTGTAGAAGTAGTAGCAGATAAAGATAGCAACTCTTCGATATCCCCATCTTCCGTGTGCCATAATTAGCTTTTGAAGAAATCTGAATTAGCCTATTGCGTAATCGGCACTTCTTACAGCTTAAGTCCCCTCCTTACCTCTTATACCTACTCCAATGTGAGCTTCCATTATCATTGGAACATCATTAGCACCATCTCCAACTGATAAAGTAATCCAAGTACCATTTCGTTTTGCGAGTGCAACTACATCTGATTTTTGTTTAGGAGAAACACGACAGCAAATCACAGAATTAGCTGTACATCCAAATTTAAAGAATCTCTGAGAAGTTGAATTGTCTTCTAGAACAATAGCCAAAGTTTAGCCATCTATCACAATTGATTTTTTTTCGAATTTTGATTTCTAAGTTTCAGCATCAGTTAATTTCTTCATAAACTCCTCTCTATCCTTTGAACTCAGAATAATTAACTCCATTGTGGATTGATTTATAAGATTACAACTTTTGCCTATTTCAATAGCTGTTTCTTGCTTGTCACCAGTTAGAACCCATACTTTGATTCCAGCATTCATCAAATTTTAGATTGTTTCTGGGACTTAATCTTGTAAAAGGTCTTCAATAGCAGAAGATCCTATATATTTTAAATCTGTTTCCATTTCATCATAGAGCTAATTAAGCATATCATCTTTTTTAGGGTCATTTGAAACCATTGTTTGTTGGTATTTTTTATTCCATGCTTTATAATCTTGCTCATTCAGATCTTTTTAAGCCATTACCAGAGTTCTTAAACCACTGCAAGCAAATTTATATAAATGATCTTCGATTACTTTCTTTTACTTAACTTATAAATTTGTTCTAGGAAGCATAATTGAATCTGCACCTTTTGTCATTAAATATAGCTTTCCAGATTTTTCTTCCTTAACAATTAAACTCATTCTTTTTCTTGTTGAGTCGAATGGGAATTCAGTTACTATATTGTATTTTTCTGCTCTATTTTTCAGATATTCAATTTCAATTTTAATGAATTATGGAGTTCTCTCTACAAACTTAAAGCCAACATCAACAGACCCTTAAACTAGTGCTAATTCATCAGGAGATGATGCCTACATTTTTTATTAGCCAGTTTTTTTATCTTGATCTAAAACAACTGTATGACAAACAGCCATAAATCTGAAGAATTCATGACAGGCTTGAATATCCTAGAGATCTTTATTGCTTTGATTAGAATTTTGAAATAAACGTTTTGCTTCATCTAGGCTTTTATAAATTTTTCCATTGATAGAGCATTGTTTGAACTCCATAATATTACAAGTCAAAGTTCCTGTTTTATCTGAAAAAATGAATTCAACCTATCCCATCTCTTCAATCAAATCAGAATTTCTACAAAGGGAAAATCCAGTATCCTTGTCATAAATCTATAAATCTTTCCCTATTAATTTTGCTTAGCCTAATTTAATGATCTCTAAAACAACATATAATGAAATTGGGATGAGATGAGAATATGCAACCCAATAGGTCAGATACTATATAATGAAATCTCCAAAACCTGGATCTTTTCCTAAACTTAAGTAATAATGAGTTGGTGCCTTATTTTTAATCCAGAATACTGAGAGAATAGCGTATATCAAAATAAGGATAAGCTGGAATGCAAAGACCTAGATCACAAGTTTAAAAAATATTGACTTACAGAGTACAACATTTAATTCATCTTTCTTTAAACATTACTAATTTTAGTAGGTGGCTTTTTAGCATTCATCATTATTTTGCTTTCCGGACCTGTGTAAACAGCGATACCAATAGCGAATTCAGTATTTCTTAGGGTGCATCCTCTTAGAAGTAATGTCTTTAAGCTATAAAGTAATTTATTGTAATTTTAAGTTATTCTCACCTTGTGTTAAATACAAGCTACTTTCCTTACAACTAAGTTGTAATATTTCCATCCCATCGATCTAAGTATTCATTAGGGGAATCACAAGTTAAGATTCCTGACATTTGTAGAAGATGAGCTATTTCTAGCTTTAAAACATCTTTAGGTGCAACTTTTTCTTTCAAATTAGTCTAGAAAATTATAAGAATTGTTTTACCTCTCCATCTAGATTCATTGTGTCTACAAATGCTATTCCTGTCTGTTTATCAGATTTTAAAAATACCATATCGGCTGGAAATTCTTCATCTTTCAAAACTTTAATTAACTCCCCTGATTTAATTTCATGCCATTTTCTCTTAACGAATTTCAGTTACATAAGATCAAAAACAAGAGACTCCTTGTTATTCAGATCTCTATCCTATTTGTGTCTTTAGATATCTTCAAATGCCTCTTTAAGCATAGTGAAAATGAGAACTATTGCAAAAGTACCAATCATTGATAAAGGTGCCTATATTTTTTAGAGTATTTATTTTATACTTTAGGGGAAAAACTCATGAATGTTAATATTGATATAATCATAAAGTAGATGTTTGCAGCTCTTTTAAATTGCAATAGAAGAGACTTCGGGGCCCAATTATAAATAGTATATCTAAAAATAATATTGTCTCTTGAATTTCATGATTAAATACCTGGATGTTTTGACTCTGTTTGTATTTGGGAAATTTTTATCAACCATGTCTTTAGAATGGAAATGTACTTCCATCTTGATTCCTTTTCTCTCCTTTTTCTAGCACACTTAAAATAGAATTTAAAATATTTTACTGTCAGTAATTGAAGTTTGTGCTTCTCTTGCCTTCTATAATTTGATTATATTATTTCATTTATTTATTGAAATTTTATATTAAGATAATAGCATTTTGGGGTTTTGGGGTTTTGGGGTTTTGGGG